CAACTATTTAATAGTCAGAGGAATACAATTCTAAGAGCAGAAATGGCTCTGAAGCAGTTTTAGGAAAGTTATTTCAAGGGTGGGAAATAAGATAACTCCATGGTAAGTGAAGCTTTTTAGCATAGAAGAAGAATCTGTTGTGAATGCATGGAAAATGTAATCACAGGCAAGAAAACACACACACACACACACACACACACACACATACGCCAAAGTCAGAAAGAAATAGAGAGCATAAAATAGTGGTTGCTAGGGCTGTGAGTGTGTGGGGGAATGGGGAGATGTTGGTTAAAGGGTACAAATTCGGCTATTAGATAAATAATTTCTGGGGGGTCTAATTACAGCATGTTGACTATAATTAACAGTAGTGTCTTATATACTTGAAAGTTGTTGAGACAGTAGATTATAAATGTTATGCAAACATGCAATGGTAATATGTGAGAGGATAAAGGTTAACTAACCCTGTGGTAATCATTTTGCAATACATGTGTATCACATCATCTGTTATTTAAGCTAAGACTCAGGGGTACACATTAGCCAACAAGTACTTTGTCATGATGTCAGTGTTGGTGTTGTGCTTCATATCATTACACATTAAGATCAACTAAAACGTTTTTACAAAGTATTTATGTCCAGACTCTCCTTCCTGGTATTTAATTTTTAAATGTTTAATTTTTAACACTTAGTTTCGTTCCCCTCCCCTTACCCCCCCCCCCCCCCAGATATTTTAAATCATTGACCAAGAGTGAGGCCCAGGCAGTTCCCAGCAATCCACAGACTGTCTGCATCTCAGCAGTGGTTCAGCAAGACAACTCTGCACCACGGGGGACCTGGATTGATCTGGAAGACAAACCAGTCTTTTCAGGGAAAGCTCCAAAGTAATATGATGCCCCAGACTTTAGCCGAGAAGAGACAACGCATTTTATCCAAGACCAAGCAGAGACGTCATGAAAGGTCTACACTTCCTAGAGGCTGACCAGCTGCATGTTCAAGACTCCAGTCAAGATAACGCCCATTCTCACAATACGGTCAGGCACAGGCACAGGCAGCAGGAGACCTGGGAGAAGCCCCAGCAAACCAGTGCCTACAGGAGACAGGGCCTCCAGGCCTGCAGTCATGAAGGAGAACTGTTAAGTACTTCCGAGGTCACAGGTACCATGAAGGTAATTGCACCGGGAAGTGTGGGTGAAGCCGTAGGCCCTGCTCGTCCTGGGTCTCTACACACCAGCCCCGAGCTCACGGCAGCAGAGTTTTTAAATTGGGCAGAGATGATCCAGGAGCAGTCTCTGTGGCCCACAGCTTCTCTGCAGGCAACCAGCTCCCCTTGGAGATATCCAGAGACAGATCTGAAAGTGAAAAAAAGCAAGAGGGAGAAGGTGTGGCTTTGAGGGCAGACAGGCTGGCTAGGGAGGCAGAGAGCCAGGAGCCAAGAAGAACGTTGTAAGAACCGAAGGAAAATTAGGAGGAAGTTGTGCTGAAAAAGCCAAGCAGTCTGGCTTTGGGAAGTGGTTCACTGAGAACCAACCCCTCAGCATACGTGTTTCCTTTCAAGTCAATTCTGTTTCTTGTTCTGGACTCTGATGCTCTGTTGTATCAAAATTGCATGTTATTAAACTTTTGAAGGACAAAAAAAAAGTGAGGCCCAGACTTGAGCGTTTTTGAAAGGTCCTTAGAGATTATGTGCACAACCAGGATCAAGATGTTTTAATTTAGTTAATGAAACTTATATCTTACCTATCATGCTGAAAACGCTTGTCTAAATATACAAGGACCCATCCTGAATTTGAAGGAAAGAAATTGAGATAGGCAATCACTTAGAAATATATATATATATATATATATATATATATATATATATATATATATATATTAATTTCAGAAAGGAAGGGAGAGGGAGAGAGAATCATTGATTGGCTATCTCCTGCACACCTTTTATTGGGGATTGAGCCTGAAACCAGGGCATGTGCCCTTAACCAGAATTGAACCCAGGACTCTCCAGTCCACAGGCCAATGCTCTGTCTACTCCGCAAAACTGATTAGGGCAAGAAACATGGTTTTGCCAACACTGAACCAACCCGGCCAACTGGTCCACCCCTTTTCTTTGGAGGTTATAAAAGTGGCCACTGCTAGGTGGGGCCCTACTATGGGGCACCATTGTGAGCTGGCTGGTCCATATCGGGTCCACCGGTGAGGTGGGAACACTTTACTGGCAACTAGGAACTTTGGAACCTTTATCTTCTCTCAATCTGTCCCCCTCTCTCTTTCTCATGCTTACAGTACGTATTTTTTTTGGAATAGAACTTTGATCAATCCTATTCAAAATCTGAAAATTGAGGAAACAAACAAAAAAATGAAACAACAAAATACTCAGTATGGCTTTCCCGGCAAAAATTCACATATTCTTTTTCAAATTATAAACAGCACATAAGATACCTAAAAAACAAAAACAAAACTGTGCTTGTTTAGCAAGGCACATTACTATATGTTAGGAGAGTAAATGATTGTAAATATGATGGTGATAAGTGGGGACCAGGCAAAGGGAATGACCACAGATGCAAGCCTGCAGTGGGGAGTGGAAGGAAGTCTAGAGGCGCAGGGTGGGTAGTCATACTAGCACTTGTCTTTTCCCCCACACACACATCATCTATAATAATAAAAGCCTAATATGCTAATTAGACAGGACGATCTTCTGGACAATCTTCCAGATGACCTTCTGGACTAGGCCGCAGTACTGCTGGGGCCAAGGCAGAGGCATCTGTGGCAGTGATGGGGGCTGAGCCCCTTGCACAAATTTCCTGCATCTGGCCTCTAGTCTAATATATAAAAGCCTAAGTGACCCGTTGACCTGATAACCAAATGACCTGTTGAACTATTGCTGTGATATGCAATGACCACCAGGGGGCAGATGCTCAATGCAGGAGCTTCCCCCTGGTGGTCAGTGTGCTCCCTCAGCAGGAGCACTGTTCAGCTAACCAACAGTTGCCAAATGCCGGGTTCATGGCAAGAGCCTCTCCCCATCTGGACTGACTAGGCATGAGCCTACGGCAGGAGCAGTGGGGCAGAATGAGTGGGAGCAGGGTGGCTTCAGGTCCAGGCTCAGATTCCTCCCTGGCCGCCTGCTACTTTGAGCACTACTTGATCCCCTGAAAGGTCACAGATTGGGAGAGGGCACAGACCAGGCTGAGGGACCCCACTGGTGCACAAATTTGTGCACCAGGCCTCTAGTTTATAAATAACACATACCAGTACCTGAAATAGAAACTTCTTTCAAAGGACATGAAAAATGCAGGTTGAATCATTTTTAGAATATTAACTCCCATGTCCTGTGGAAATGGAGACACAAGAATAAGCCATTCCAATCTCTGTGGTCCTTAGATGGTCCTGGTTAAACACGTGCACTCTCCTCATCCAGGGAGGGTATTAGGCGGACTGAAGAGAACGAAGAAGGGGTTTCTAGCTGGAGCCACAAACACACTTCTGGTGGCCACTCACCCCGCGGGCGTGCCCAAAGTCTAATCAGGACAGACCCGAAGACCACCCTCTTATTTTTGCTGCCCCCCTCACCCCCTTGAGAACACCCTGCTCAGACAATCCCCAAACTTGGATCCATTAGGAGAAAAGAAAATATGCTCCCCCTCATCTTCTCGGCCGCCAGCCCCACTTCCCCAGCTACAGTGCAACCACCTTAAAACTTCCTTCCACTCCTCCCCTGGCCTCGGGTTTGAGTCTCTGCCAAGTGCAAGTGCCGCAGGCCCAGTAGTCTAGTACCGAGGCTTAGAGTCAAGCAGTAGTTCCCGTTCTCCTGTGGCGACCTTCCTTTTGCCCCACACAGGTTTTGTGTGTGTGTGTGTGTGTGTGTGTGTGTGTGTGTGTGTGTGTGTAGTGTTGGGGTGGGGGAGGAGGGGGGAAGAAATTAAAAAACATTCAGAATAATACTCATGCCCAGTATCATTCACTAACTATGTCCTTTGGCATTCTCTCTTCCCCTGCTTCACTCCCTCCCTCCCCCCCCCACCTTCTCCCCAATGCCACCCCACCTCTCCTCACCCCACCCATCCCACTCCACCCCACCCTACTGTCATTCCACAAGAGTGGGCATTTATTTTTGTGGATTCTGTGCCAATACCAGAGCTGGCCTGGCTGAACTTTTACCAACCCTTTGCCTATAGCCAATGTAAATTCTTTCAGACAGCTTGCATCTTTCTCCTCCCTTCATCTGCTTGATGTATAAAAATGCTTGCAAACTCCTACACAATGGACATATTGTCTTTCATTCCCTTTCATATTCTTTGTTTTTGGCTAGCGTTTTTGGCTTAATAAAAAAATCCCCCTCCCCTATATTTGTATTTATTAATTTCAGAGAGGAAGGGAGAGGGAGGGAGAGATAGAAACATCAATGATGAGAGAGAATCATTGATCGCCTGCCTCCTGCAAGCTCTCACTGGGTATGGAGCCCATAACCCCGGGCATGTGCTCTGACCAGAAACAGAACCGTGACCTCCTGGTTCATAGGTGGATGCTCAAGCCCTGAGCCCCGCAGGCCAGGCTCAACAAAAGCTTTCTTAATCACTTGCAGCCTAAGGGGTTCACATTTTTGTTTAACCATTCCTTAAGTATTCATTTTGAATTCGGAGCTTACTTTGGTTTTTTATTTTAATTTAATGTCAACTGATGCCCAACAAAAGAGACCACATATGAGCGTTCTTAGAAAACAACACTTAGAGGCTTACACTCCCCTCGCCGCTCCACCCACCCTGGGTTCACACCTCCGCCTGGGAGCCCATTCATGCCCAGAAAGCGCGGTCTAGCAGAGAGACCCGCCCCCTGCCAGTGCGCTCTCCAATCACAGCGCGCGCTGTGACGCACATGCTGCTTGGGCGGTGCGTCCAGAGAAGCCCCGCCCCCGCCCGATCGCCAGCCAATTGCAGCGCGCGGTGCGGCGCGGCGCGCTGTGCAGGGGCGCCGCGCGGGGAGGCTGGGCGCGGGGCGGCGCGCTGGAGATGCCGGGCGGCAGCTCGCGCGGCCCGAAGGTGAGCGGAGGTTCGGAGCGGACGCCGCGCGCTCTCCGGCGGCGCCCGGAACTCTGCGCGCGTCCTGCTCGGCGTTCCGCCCCGGGCACTGGCCGGGCCTGGCAGCGGCGACACGTGGGTGCTGTGCTGGGGGGAGGGAGGAGGGTCCCGGGCGGAGCTGCAGCTCCGGAGGTCGGGCTGAGGGAGCCGCACCCTCCCGTCTGGGCGGAGGTCCCTCGCGGAGGTGCGCTGGGCAGGGCGGGGGTCGGAGGTGCGCTGGGCAGGGCGGGGGTCGCAGCCAGCGGGCACGGAAGCGAGGCGCTGGGCGGAGCTGGGTTTGGAACAGCGCGTGAGACCCAGTTGCCCTCACTGGTGTGTGGTAGTTCTTCATTTTCCTTCTTTTTGACACGTGGAACTCTCCCGGACAGCGGGGTGTGCATTGGAGTGGCTCTGCTGTCGGTTCCACCCGCCCCTCGTCCCCCAAATATCTGTTGCCGCACTTTCCATTCTCCCCAAACTTTCCCCAGTCTCTCTTCCTGCTTCTGCGGGGCAGGACTTGGAGGGTCTGCGGCCAGTCTGTCATGCCGCGTCTGCTGGGGTCTGGTCACGAGCTGTGAAGTGCGGTGCTGTGTGCACATCCGTGCACAGACAGTGTCCCAGGGCTGGCGTGTGAAGTACTGTGGGCACAGACAGTGTCCCAGGGCTGGCGTGTGAAGTGCGGTGCTGTGGGCACACCTGTGCACAGTGTCCCAGGGCTGGCATGTGAAGTGCTGTGTGCACACTTGTGCACAGTGTCGCAGGGCTGGCATGTGAAGGGCTCTGTGCACACCTGTGCACAGACAGTGTCCCAGGGCTGGCATATGAGGTGCTGTGTGCACACCTGTGCACAGACAGTGTCCCAGGGCTGGCATGTGAAGCGCTGTGTGCACATCTGTGCACAGACAGTCTCCCACGCTAACGTGTGAAGTGCTGTGTGCACGCCTGTGCACAGACAGTGTCCCAGGGCTGGCGTGTGAAGTGCTGTGTGCACACCAGAGTGCGCGGCGCAGTGGACAGTCCTTGCTCCAGGGCAGCCGTGGTAGGAAAGCAGAGGATTGGATGTTTCTCGGGCAGGATCTCTGAAAAAGATATTAATCTCAAGACACCCACGAAACCAGTGTTAGTGGGTTTCCTTTCATGTTATGTAGCTTCCAGGGTCAAGGGTAGAGCTGAGGAACGCAGAGCCCCTGGGAAATGCCTCGTGGGCGTGGGGCTAAGCTGCGGCTGGCACCGGAGGCTGCATCCATGCACCGCACATGTTGTAGGGACAGGTCACCCAGGCCCCGCATGGGAGCAGAGCAGAGAGCTGGAACATGCAGAGGAAGGGTGACTTTTCATGCACATATGTGAATGGGACTGTGGCTTCAATGATGATGTTTTCATTTTTTTCCTTAAATAAATTTTTATTGTTCATATTATTACAAATGTTCCTTCCTCCCCACTTCCCACCCCACCCTCTGCCCTTTCCCCACCCCCCATTGTCCTCATCCATAGATGCACAGTTTATGTTCAGTCTCTTCCCACATCCCCCTCTCCCCTTTTCCCCAAGAATCATCAGTTCACTCCCCTTCCATACCTCTGATTCTATTATATTCAACAGTTAATATTGTTCCTCAGATTTTTTTTTTAATTTCCTTGGTTTTTAGATTCACTTGTTGATAGTTACGTATTTGTTGTTCATAATTTTTATCTTTGTTTACTTTCTCTTCTGAAAGAACCCCCTTCAGCAATTCATATAATTCTGGTTTGGTGGTGATGAACTCCTTTAGCTTTTTTTTTATTAGTGAAGCTCTTTATCTGACCTTCGAATCTGAGTGATAGCTTTGCTGGATAGATTATCTTTGGCTGTAGGTTCTTACTATTCATCACCTTGAATATTTCTTGCCATCCCCGTCTGGCCTGCATGGTTTCTGTTGAGAAATCAGCTGATAATTGCATGGGTGCTCCTTTATAGGTAACTACCTTCTTTGCTCTTGCTGCTTTTAATATTCTCTCTGTCTTTTGCTCTTGGGATTTTAATTATGATGTGTCTTGGTGTGGTCCTCTTTGGATTCCTTTTGTTTGGAGTTCTGTGCACTTCCTGGACTTGTAAGTCCAATTCTTTCCCCAGGTGGGGGAAGTTTTCTGTCATGATTTCTTTCAGTATGTTTTCGATATCTTGCTCTCTCTCATCTTCTGGGACCCCCCTAATTCTGATGTTGGATCGTTTGAAGTTGTCCCAGAGGTTTCTTACATCATCTTCAATTTTCTGGATTCTCTTGCCTTCTAGCTTCTGCAGAGGAGTGTCTTCTGGCTCTTTATGTTCCAAATCTTTGACTTGATTCTTGCGATCTTCTATTCTGTTTTTAGGACTCTGTATAATATTTTTTATTTCAGACAATGTATTCTTTATTTCTTGTTGATCCCCTTTCATATCCTATAAGTCTCATTTATTTTATCAGCCTTTTTAGGAAATTCTTGAAAAACCTTATAAGCGTAGATTTGAACTCTATATCCAGTCGCTTTTTGTCCTCCATTTCTTTCGTTTGTGATCTATTTGGTTTAGGCATTCTCGCAGGCAGCTTTCCTGATGGGGCGGGGTTTCAGGGTGGAGCCTACAGCTTTGGCTTCCGTCAGCCCCGCCCTATGCGACTCCTGAGACTCAGGGTCCTTCAGTGCTTGCTGCAAGCACCTCTGAGAGAAAGGCGCCCTTGATTTTCGCCTGCTGCCAAACAGTCTAGTCTCTCCCCCAATGGGCCCGAAACTGGGGTTCAGTTCAATTGGAAGTGGAGTTGGAGGTGGCGTTCAGAGCAGACTGGAGCCCCTGTCTCCTTCCCGCCAGGCAATCCCGCGGCACAGCCGGCCGTCCCTTCTCTGCGACCTTTTGCCTCTTCCCTGGGGTTCCGCCTTTCAGCCCGGCTCCCTCTGTGTGAGCCTGGGTCCCTGGGGTTTGGCCTAGAACTGGGGTTCAGAGCAGTCAGAACTGGGGCCCAGCACAGTCAGAGTTTTATCTCCTTCCCGCTAGGGAACGCCAGCCAGGCACTCAGCCGCCCTCCTCTCCGGCTCCGTCCTCTCCGCGTGCCGCATGTCTCCATACCTCAGGCTTTTCCAGCTCCTCCGCGCTTCCTTCTGGTTTTCTCCTTGCTTCTTGTTGTAGAATTTCCATTCAGTCGACTTTCCTGTAGTTCTGGATAATGTCCATTTTATATTTTAGTTGTGTTTTATTGAAATTGTTGCATGCGGCTGCGGCTAGGTGCCTACCCGAGCAGCCATCTTGGATTCTCTCTGATGTTTTCATTTTTAAGGAGAGGTTTTGTTTTCTTGAGTTACTGTTGCAGTGTTTGCAGGTGCTAGCTCACATTTCAGCACTGCAATAGTTTCCCTTAAGGTTTAAAAATGATGATTTTCCTTTATGTACTGTCCTTCTTAAGAGGTGTCACTCACACACGAAGGAAAACTCCAGGTATTCTCACCAGTCTGATGGGAGAGGTTACCCAGGCAATTTGGAGAGAGATCTTAAAAGATGTCAGCCGCCACAGGGGGTCATGGTTGGATTCCTGGTCAGGGCACTGTGAGGGTCGCCAGAGGAAGAACACACAGGCCAGGGTGGTGAGGCATTACGAATCTATTCGTCATCCCACACTAGGTGATGGCTCCAGCACCAGTGACAGTAGTCAGCGGTTTTAAAGGACTTTTGGTGAGCAGATTCCACTGCCAGCTTCTCAGCATTGGGCCCTTTGAAGGGCAGTGGGCCTAGCTGACTGGCTGTTGGATGCCCAGCTGCCCCAGCCCTTTAGGTCTTGGTTGGGACCTTGTTCTCACCCCTTTGCAGACCCCATTCTCAGGTCGCCTGCTCCACTTTCTGGTGAACACCAGTAGTCATTGCTTCTCTCAGCTTCTTGCCTCTTAGGTATGATACCATGAAGGAGTTTGGCGGATTGATTGTTTATCCTCACCCGTTTGTATTTTGGACTTGGTTGACAAGTGGCAATTGTTGTCTGTGTACTTTTGGTTTTGCTGTCCCGTGACTCCTTTACGTGGGGATTCAGGGACATTTAAAAATATGCCTTCACCGTTGCCATTCTTGGTTTCCATATTGTTAATTGTCAACTCAGTGAAGTTGATTATTTTTTTCTTTAAAAATTATCCCTACAGAGAAAAAGGAACCGGGATGCCGTGGAATACCCCTCCTTTCCAGGGGAGTGCCCCCCGCAGCCCAGGAGAGCAGGCCTCAGGACCTCCCTCGCAGAGGCATGGCGCAGGTGTGAGGAAGGATTTCGGGGCTCTCCTGGGACTCCGGTAAAGTACTCATTCGGGCGAGGGGGTGTCCTTTAAGCTGGAAGTCTACTATATAATAAAGTAGGTTTTGCGAACGTGCGTGTTAAAAAAAATTGACAAATTAGTTTACCCGTGTTTACTTATGTAGACATGTTTAAAGTTCTATGAAAAGTTTAATTTCACAGAAAAGTTTTGTAATTTTACATTTATACTGAATAGGTCTAGTACATGTGTGCATTTACCGATCATCTCCAGCGAACAGATGCACAGGCAGGGGCATAGCTTAGCTTTCCTTAGAACATTGGCTGGCACTCGTCACCAGCAAAACCGCCCCAGAAAGTCACACCACGCAACAACTACCAATGTGCGATGTGGCGTGGTCCCATGCTGATCACTCGCCAAACACTGTTTATGAGCAGCGACTCTTGGATATAAATATGTACACTATATTTGTAGATAATGCAATCTCTATTTATGTCGGCAAAATCACTATAGTGTTTTTCCCCCAAAGATAGCCTATTTGCTAAATTTTGTTAAAAATATTTGTGATTTAAAAAAAAAAAACACTGTTAATTTAATTATAAGTAAATGTTCTTTAAAAGCATTTTGAAATTAACAGGGTGTTTTTTTGTTTTTTTTTTGTTTTTTTTTAATGTAGTTCTGTCACCAGCTATATTTACTACTTATTTGCTGCCTCTTGCCCAACGTATGCTGACTTTTCCTTTTCTTGAATTTTTTTTTCATTTTTTATTTTATTATTATTTTAAAATATATTTTATTGATTTTTTTACAGAGAGGAAGGGAGAGGGATAGAGACTTAGAAACATTGATAAGAGAGAAACATCGATCAGCTGCCTCTTGCACAATCCCTACTGGTACATGCTCTTGACCGGAATTGAACCTGGGGCCTCCAAGTCTGCAGGCTGACACTCTATCCACTGAGCCAAACCGGTTAGGGCTTAACAGGGTGATTTAAAACAACATCCAGATTGGAAATTTTGCCCATTAAAATCCTAATTCTGTTAAATCGAAGACTGCAAAATTGAAGGTTTACTATAGTAAAATTTTTAGGTCTGAGTGTTCAGGCCACTGTACTTTTATATCTTTGGAATTCCCTTTCTTATCCCTTTGGAATTTTCTACTATATAATATAGTAGGAAACTATATTACATTTTTTTCTTATCCTTGAGTTCCTTTAATAGTTATGGCATGTCAGTACTCACCTCTTTATGCCAGGCAGTACCTTTATACTTTTTTTTTTTTTTTAATATATGAAGGATACCTACTGAGAATTTCTCTAAGAACGTTCTTGGAAGATCAATGAGCATCCTCTTTACAAGAAGTATAATTATGTAATACTTATGTATTCAGATATATAATGAGATGCAGGCAGTCCTCGGGTTATGTGGGACTCGACATACTTCGTTTCGTGGTTTCGTCTCCATCTCCCATTTATTTATGAAAAAAAAAAGTTCTGTTATTTCAAAGTATGTACATATGTGCTTTATGTTTTTATTATTTACTGTAAGAAAAGGTCAGGAATTGTTAACTTTCTTTTAAAATTTTGTTACCATTTCACTTCATTACTGCTGTGTCTGTGCTCCATGTGAGTGATGTAGGCGCTTAGGTAGGTGGGTTCTGACTTACATCGCCGTAAAAACGGATCTCCGATGTAACCCGAGAACCTGCTGTAATCAGGTTATTTTTTGTAAATGTAACTTTGAAATACTTAAAATGTGGAGCAATACTATTATAAACTAAATGTTAGGTAGCTTTCTGTTCAGTTTCAGGAAAACTATAAAAATACATTTCTAAGTATATGAAGAATAGGTGCTTTGGGAATAATTATTGATAAATATAAATAAGGGAAAACAGAGAGGAATATGTTGAGGAGGATGCAATTAAGGTTTTGAATAGTTTACAAAATATCGTTGGTTTTTAGCCCTTGTCACATAAAGTACTACATTGTTGTTATTATTATTATTTTCTTTATTATCTGCCTACAGTCATTAGCAGCTGAAAAGAAGACTGTTATAGAAAAGCACATTGAATTGTTTGCTAGTCCCAAGAAAGGTAATATTTTGTTGATTTCTTGATAGAAAAAGTATAAGGATAACATATCCTTCCTTGATTTAGTTTCTTTTAAAACATTACTTACATAGTTTAAATAGACTACGTATTCATGCTTTAAAAACATCCCAACAATGTAAAAAGGTATTTTTTGAGAAGTCTGTCTCTCACCTTTGTCGCTTTTTGGGCTTACTCACTGACAGATCCAGTAGGTTAGCTCAGACTCATAGCTCTGACGTTTTAAAAAATGTCCGACTTGTGAAATAACATTATGACCTATGATACTTCAGGCAATGAAATTCTTACTTGACAAATTAGTTAGGGAAGGCTTTCAGTTACACATAGTAGGGAACTATATTAGTGTTTGAAGAAAAAGGGTTGAATTTATCTTCCGTAACGAGAAGTCCAGGGAGCCAGGCTCTTCCTGAATTCTGTAGCATTGGTGTGGGGTGGTTCTTGTGGTTAAGAGGTAGAAGCTGGATTCTCCAGGCCCAATCCTTGGGAATAATGTAGGTCTGAGGGTTTTCTCCAAGGGAACTTTTCATCCACGCCAGGACCTCTAGGTTTGGCCGGAACCTGTTACAGAGAGGCCCCTCCCCTAAAGAGACTTCAGTGAAATTAAGGATTTTTAAACATGTATGTTGCTACTCAAATAAAATGGGGGTTTTGTTAGTATGGAAGAAGAGGGTTGGATATCAGGCAGGTCATTGGCTGTGCTGCCACACTCAGTGCCACTGTGGGTGAGAAGGAGAATGGAGACCTCATTGGCCCGTGGTACCCTGACTGTCCTGGCAGTGATCTTGGGAAAGCATGCGAAATGTGTTGAGCCTTAGTTTCTGCATCTGGAAAATGGGAATAAGAATGTGTGCCTCATTGGATTATTGTGAGCTAAAAATAAAGTGCTTAGCTCAAATGCATTGATGGCAGCAATTGCTATTATGTCTGATGGCCAAACGAACGATATGAAAGCCTGTTCAGAGTTCTGCAGAGTGGGAAAACTGTGAATAAGAGACTGAACACTTTAAGTGATATTATTATTTCACTAAAATTTATTTATACAAATGAAAATAAAATTTCTCAAATTTTAAAAAATTCCTAAAATTCTATTGTAAAATAAAATTGGCACACATCTTTTTGTAATAGCATAATTTTCTAGAGGATCTCCAGAATTTAACTTTTCTTCTTATTAGTGCCAAAAGCTATGATATTCAAAGATCAATTAATTCTACCTTCTAAACTATCATAATATATTATATGGAGAAAATAATATTTTATAAATGTGGCTTGTATCTTTCTATGAACATTTTAAATATAGTCTCCAAAGAAAGATATATTAAATAAGCAGCTACCTTTTATCTAATTACAAAAGGATGTTTTGGAATGATTTCCTCACGTTAGTGTATATTTGACTCACTCTGCCATACGTTCTATTCTATAGAATACGCAATATACTCTTAAAGGCTTAAAGAGCTTTTGCCAATATATAATTACTTGCAACATATAAGAAGCTTCTTAAAGCAAGAAACTATTGATAATTTAGCAAAAGCTTACTAATAGAAATTGATAAAATGGACTTAAGGTATTTCTTAGAACTGGCTCATTTGAAAACATAGCATCCATTTTAAAGACAAGCTATTAACAGAAATTTTAGGGTGTGGAGGCAATATTTTTATCAGAGCTGGGAAGTAGAAGTGGGAGAACATACTTTTGCAAAGTGTCGGGGGGGGCGGGGGGAGAAAGAAAAAAAAAAGGCAGTGGGAACCAGAGAAGACTAAAGCAGGAGGAAAAGAAGAAGATGGTAAGGTGAGAGAAGGAAGCATGTAAGTTTTAGCAAAGGCTCTTGGCAGAGATTCAGGAGAGATGGAAAAAGATAAAAACTTAAAATTAAGAGATTGGAACCTTTGTAGATAGCAATTTTCTTTAAAAAGTAGAACTTTTTTAAAAAATATTTTTTATTTTATTTTATTGATTTTGTACAAAGAGGAAGGGAGAGAGACAGAGAGCTAGAAACATCGATGAGAGAGAGTCATCGATCAGCTGCCTCTTGCACACCCCTTACTGGGGATGTGCCCGCAACCAAGGTACATGCCCTTGACCGGAATCGAACCCGGGACCTTTCAATCCCCAAACCGACGCTCTATCCATTGAGCCAAACCGGTTTCGGCTAAAAAGTAGAACTTGAAAAAAATCTATTTACCAAACAAAATTAAACTATGAAATAAACAGGAAATAGTGTTTTGTTTTGTTTTTCCTGAAATACTTTTATTGAGGTTAGAAATCTCTTACTCCTTGAGATATATTATTAAATTTGGCCTGTTTTCTCCTCATTGGATATGGGTTTCTTAAAAGCACACTCTTCTCTGTTGCTCATCTTTATATGCTCATCTTCAACTAGGTATATTAGTTTGTTAGGGCTGCCATAATAAAACAAATATGTGGTTTGAACAACAGAAACTTAATATCTCACAGTTTTGGAGGCTAGAAGTCCAAAATGAAGGAATTGAAAAAGTTGGTTCATTTTAGAATCTTCTCCAGGCTTCTTTCCTTTGCTTGTAGATGGCTGTCTTCTCCACGTGTCCCTTCACATCGTCGATTCCCCTCTGAATGTGTTTCTGTGTCCAAGTTTCTTCCTTTTATAAAGAACCCTATCAGATTAGGGGTCACCCAGAGACCTCACTTTAACTTGATTAGCTCTGTAAAGACCCTTTCTCCAAATAACGTCACATTCTGAAATGCTGGGGGTTAAAAATTTAACTTATGGATGAATTTTTGGGAGGGGCATAGTTCAACTTATGCTGGCACAATGCCTAGTACACAATGGGCACCCAGAAATGTTTACAAATGCATGGTAACTATTCCTGTAGTCTGGCTGATGTCCTTCCTGGAATTTCACTGGAATGGGCCTTGATTTCAACCTTTTTCTGCAAATAGAATGATTTACTGACTATTAAATTTCATAATAGTGGCTTTACTTATATAAATTTCATAGTTAAGTGTCTATAATTCATAGGCTTATGAATTTCATGAATTTGGTATATAATTGCAGCAGGTGTGAGCGCTGGGTGGGCCTTGGCACACGGGAGCAAAGAATTTTCAGTAACCAGCAGAGGCTCACCCCAATGACAGTAACAGGCTGTTGCCTTAGTCTGGTGCCCCCGCACACCTGCTCCACCATCCCGATGTGGCCCACATCTGCCATGTTTTGCGCTCTGCCACCTGCTGCTGATACCCACCATGTTCCGTGAGTGCCCCCTGGTGGTCAGCGCACATCACAGTGACCAGCTGTTCTGTTGTTTGTTTGGTTGTTCCATCATTTGGTCTATTTGCATATTAGGGAGATATATATATATTAGTAGCCAGGAAGATTCCTGCAGTAGGGCTTCCTGCTGCGCTCTTTCCCACCCCATCTGTGCTCTTTCCTACCCCATCTGCAGAATTCCCTTCTTTCTCCCCACCCTGCCTGCTTCTCTTCCTTCTTCCCGCCCCACCTGCTTGCTTCTCCGAAGCTTCGCTCTGCTCCCGCTCTGCTCCCTTCTGCAGCGTTTGGCTTCTTTCTGTGTTGTCTTGATATGCAAATTAACCACCATCTTGGTTGGATTAATTTGTATACTCACCCTGATTGGCTGATGGGCGTGGCTCAGGTGTAGCAAATGTGCGGTCAATTTGCATATTACTCTTTTATTAGGTAGGCTATAGATGTTAATTTAGTGTTATCTCAAAACAGCAGGTTTAATTGAAAAAAATTTCTGTTAAGTGTTTTAAGCACACTGCTGCTTCCAGGGCTTTAAGTATGGCAAAGGAGGCACGCAGACACATTTCTATTATACATAAGTTTTGATTTTGTAGTTTCTGATTTGTGTTTTTGTTGTTGTTTAATGAAATACTCTAACAAGGAAACTATAATCCATAATTATTTCAAAGTTATTTTTTTGAATTTTCATTTGTGCTCCAGTCATTTTTCTTGTCTTTTGTAACTTATTTCAATCATTTCTACTTCTTTTTCTTCTTGTAATATGACTTTACTTTAAAGAAGTTTAACCCAGGTTGCACATAGAATAGTGGTCAGAAAGATCTGACACGAGACATTGTTCCCGCTAGCATCAGAATTTTGTGTATTTATAATATAACTTCACCAAAGGAACATGCATTAAATCTTATTCTGATAACAATATAAGATGATTGCTTTTTATATATTTTATTTTTCTTTAACAGAAACTACCACGTCTAAGAGTGCCAGTGGGATTACAGAAATAACTTGGAGTTCCAGTGGAAGTGATCAGTCAGATGAAGGTAAACTACTTTCTAAGTCAAAGACATGGTAGTTCTAGAATAGACAGGTTTTGTAATGGGAATATTTTATGTTCTGAACATGAGGCCAGTGGAGGTAAATTGATAATTTTGTAAGAAATCCAGTTTCTATTATATATTGTGTTAAATATTGGAAAAAAGTTACATTCCTTTTCTAATACCATTGATGATATGTGATCTTACTGAGTCCCAACCTCTAGACTAAGCCCTTTAGAAATATTTTCTCATTTACTATTTCTCACAATAGCTTTAAGAGATAGGCATTACACTAGAATTTTTACAGTTAACAACATCGAACACGTGAGAATTGGTTTGGATTCCACTTTGGCATTCTTTGATGATAAAGCCAGTACTCTCAACTAACTACTTAATGCTACACCCATATTGCCTCCTTGCTAACCTGTTTTGGATAAGTACTACGAGTGGCTGTTCTGATGGCATTTTACGTTATAGCCTGCTTTTGACAGTTAAAAGGGAGTTTCTCAGTCTTGGCATATTGCCATTTGGAGCGAGGTAATTCTTTGTTTGGAAAGAGAGCTTACCTGTGCATTGTGGGGTGGTGAGCAGTATCTCTGGTTTCTGTCATCAGTGTCAGCAGCGTTCCCCAAGCCTGGTCATGACGACCAAGAATGTCTCTAGATGTCAGATGTCCCTTAAAGCAGCAGTCGCCAAGCTTTATGACCTCACAGACCACCTGTGGTCCACGAACCACCGGTTGGCGACCGCTGCCCTAAAGTACAGTTCTCACCCCAGTTGGGAACCACAGACTTAAAATTATGGAAATTGTTATATTTTCCATATTTTAAAATATATAGCTCATCTACATAGATAAAAAGTTTTATTGCTTTCAAAATAAGCATTGACTTCCTTTTCACTGTTATGCCGACAGTTCGTGTTATTCAGTTACTGAGTCAAGGTTCTGTTTGTACAGACAGCTCCTGTGGAAGCTGACTGTGCTCTTTTGGCTACTTTGTATGACAGCTTGGTAACTATCATTTGACATTTCAGTAATAGCCAGATAATGTGGAATTTTAAGGTTATACATAAACTCAGAATTGCTATTTCAGCCACGTTAAATGAAATTTGTTGTTAGATAAATCTTGGTTTGTCTTCATGTATCTCAGAACATAACTTCATTATTAAAAATTGTATGTTTTGCCGAAACCAGTTTGGCTCAGTGGTAGAGCGTCGGTCTGTGGACTGAAAGGTCCAGGGTTCGATTCCGGTCAAGGGCATGTACCTTGGTTGTGGGCACATCCCCAGTGGGGGGTGTGCAAGAGGCAGCTGGTCAATGTTTCTCTCTCATTGATGTTTCTAGCTCTCTATCTCTCTCCCTTCCTCTCTGTAAAAAATCAATAAAATATATATTTTTAAAAATTGTATGTTTTTATAAATGAATAGTGAGGTATGTGAATTACATCGCAGTAAAACTGGCATTTAAAAAACTTTATCTTGTCCTGTTGTATGAAAAGATCTTTTATATTAATACTCAGTAGTTTCCAAAACTCTTAAAGAATGGGAGGATGCTTTGAGCTAATTGCTTTTAAATGAGTGAGGAAGTTGTTGACTTCCCTTAAACAAGCTGACCATTAGGGAACAAGGACATGATCCCTTGGGGATTGTCTGTTCATGTGCACAACTGCTCGATTAGCTTTTTCTTCTCCCCTCTTTTTCTCTTCTCTCCTCTCTTCTCCCTTTCTTCCTCTGTCCTTTCTATCGTGTTTTTTTTATTATTTATTTTTTTATCGTTTAAAGAGGTGGTTCTCAACCTTTCTAATCCCTCGACCCTTTAATACAATTCCTCATGTTGTGGTGACCCCCCCCCCCCAACCATAAAATTATTTTCGTTGCTACTTCATAACTGTAATTTTGCTACTGTTATGAACAGTAATGCAAATGTCTGTGTTTTCTGACGGTCTTAGGCAACCCTGCTAGTGGTTCTCAACCTGCGAATAAAACATAAATTTTAAAAAAATAAAATTCAGTTTGAAATTGTATTTAACATATAAAATTGAGTTTGAAATTATTTTCTAGGTGAACTACAGTTTGTGGACTGGGAGCGGGACAGTGATAGGGAAGATGCTGATGGTGAGAATGAGTTTGAGGACAGTGGGAGCGCTGTGGAAGATGGCGAGAGTGCCGCGGAAATATCAGACTGTGCCTCCTGTGCTAGCAGTCGTTCTCTGACAAGTGAAGAGAGACTATCTGAGCTTCCTAAGGTAGGAATGAATGGTTTAAAAAAATTTTATTCTGTCTATGGCATTTCTTAATCCTATCCTTCCTCAAGGGTAGCAACTTTTAACTCTTAGTGGATTCTTCTGCACTGTACATCCTTATTGCTAAATGACATGCTTATAATGTATTTCTACACATAAATTTTTTTAAAAAAATATATATTTTTTAATTGATTTTTTACAGAGAGGAAGAGAGAGGGATAGAGAGTTAGAAACATCGATGAGAGAGAATCATCGATCAGCTGCCTCCGGCGCACCTCCTACTGGGGATGTGCTCGCAACCAAGGTACATGCCCTTAACCAGAATCGAACCTGGGACCTTTCAGTCTGCAGGCTGATGCATTATCCACTGAGCCAAACCGGTTTCGGTTCTACACATAAATTTTTTTATTTATTTTTTTATATATATTTTTTAATTTATTTTTTACAGACAGGAAGGGAGAGGAATAGAGAGCTAGAAACATCAATGAGAGAGAAACTTCGACCAGCTGCCTCTTGCACACCCCCTACTGGGGATGTGCCCGCAACCAAGGTACATGCCCTTGATTGGAATTGAACCTGGGACCTTTCAGTCCCCAGACCAACGCTCTACCCACTGAGCCAAACCGGTTTCGGCTATACATAAATTTTTTATGATAATGTTACATACAATAAACACCAATTATTCAAGAAAAATGATCTTACATATAACAAAATTATATGCAATAAACATTAATGTTTTAAGAATAAAAGGATTGTAAGTATAATATTATCCAAACTGTACTAACATAGTATGATATCACAAAAGTTGTAGGAAATATTAAAAATATGCAAATAATAGGATTATTTCTAGTATATTCTACAATATTTTTCCCTTTGGCTTTATTTTTGTTCATCAATTTATGTTGTTCATTATATTCCACAAAGGAGTGAGATCATGTGATATTTATCTTTCTCTGACTGGCTTATTTTGCTTAGCATGATGCTTTTAAAGTTTATTTTGTTGGATACAGGCAGTCCTTGGGTTACTTTGGACTCTGTGTACTTTGTTTCATGGTTACGTCGCCATCTTCCATTTATTTATATAAAAAAAAAAGTTCTGTCATTTGGACATATGTGCTTTTTTATGTTTTTTTAAATTATTATTATTATTTACTGTATTTGCCACAGATAAAGGTTAGGAATTGTTATCTTTCTTTTAAATTTTTGTTACTGTTTCACTTCATTACTGCTGTGTATGTGCTCCCTGGGAGTGATGTAGGTGTGTTCTGACTTACGCTCAATTCCGTTACGCTGTGCTGTAGGAACGGATCTCTGATGTAACCCGAGGACCTACTACTGTATGAGTTTTACTATTCAAGCCTTTTTTCTTTTCCATCCCTTCACTTTCATCCTGTGTGTGTCTTTTGTTTTGAGGTGGGTCTCTTCTAGACAGCATATAGTTGGGTCATGGTTTTGTATCCATTCAGCTACTCTACACCTTTTGATTGGAGCATTTAATCCATTTACATTTAGGGCCATTATTGAGAGGTACTTTTTGAGAGCCATTTTAATTCTATATGGCTAGGTTTCTTTCTCTGTTTCTTCTTGTCAGCAGTTGTTCACAGCAATCCCTTTAAGCATTTCTTGTGATACTGGCCTGGTGGTGATGAACTCCTTTAGCCTTTTTTTGGGGGAGGGGGGGAAGCTCTTTATTTGACCGACTATTTGACCGAATGATAGCCTTGCATTTGGCGGTTGTTTGTTTCCTCATTATGGTTGTCTGTTTGGGTTTGTAACTTGGGTATTAGGTAGATCCTTTAATCTCACAATCTCTAGGCCAGGACCGTGTTAAAGGCTGTTCTGACTAATTGGATTAGATCCCAGAGTTCTGAGTGGCCACCCCATAGCTGAGATATCTCTCCAGGACTTCAGTTGCCATCTGTGGGTGCCCCGCCAACCCTTTCACACCTCTGCCCCTCCTACCAGACTCTATGTGGTCTCCACCTTCGGTCCTTGGGTATCAGGATTCTCCTGTGAGTTTTTCATTGATTATTCAGGAAGCCTTTCCGTATTTCAGTTGTAATTCCCACTTGTTCCTGGGAGCATGTATGTGCAGCATCCTCCTACCTTGCCATCATTTTTAATCTTTTTAAAAACATACAAAAATATTGAGTTCTCCTCACCCACTTTTCACCATCAGCTACCCACTGAATATTTCCCATCCCTCCATTTTTTAAAGAACATATGTATCATGTTTTGGTTAGATTAATATTAAGCATTACATACTTGTGAATACATAATATTTGTAACCAAGGAAAATATTAATTATGATTACTTTTCCTTCACAACTTTTTATTTTCTTTACTTAATTATTTTAGGGTTTTGTTTTCCTAGTTTTACTTACTAATAAAACTTTAATTTTTTACCATTGTATTTGTTTTAATGGACAATTTTTCCTCACAACCTTCTCACTGCTCTAGTTTGAATTCAGTGGCCTCTCTACTTTGTGACCATTATTATTTAGGTCTCCCTTCATTCTCTTTCTTGGAATTCCCTTTATCTCCTCTTATTTGGAGCAACTTAATCCTGGATTCTATGTATGCCTCTTTCTTGGTTTTCACTTTCATTTTGATTGAGCATTTCTTATAGGACCTATCAAGAAAAGATTTGTGAAAGATAATTTTTTGAGATTTGGCAAATCAGAAGATGCATTTATCACCTTTGGATATATGATTGAAATTTTGTATACAATTTTAGGTTGAAAATAACTTGTCTTCATAATTTTGAATGCTTCATTGTTTTCTAGTTTCATAATCACT